TTGTCAATTTGTTCCAAAATTGGCCTATTTTAAAGGAGGGTACTTTCAACCCCAGAGTATAATATTCCCCTCACTAAAAGTTGGCCAATGTTTGGACAACACTGGCATAACTGATAGATTTATGGAGTTGGAAAGGGCCATTTGCTACTTACAATATCATGAATTACTCTGACAAATGTTTTACCAAAACCAACACACTATATATTATGTCTATGGCACTCCCACCATCTACTAAGATAGTTTACTCAATTTTAAAAGATACAATAAGTTTAGTACAGGTATGGCAGATTCCTAAAAACTCCACTCTGATCTCTGGTAATTACCTAATTATTTTCAAGATGGTCCCAATTATGATCTACTCTAGAATCTTCCCAGGTATAAATTTCAGATTTACTGGCATTTAATTCCATCAGTACCACTATGTTCATTCACTTGAACTTCTGTATAGATTTAACATATAGTGCAAATATTCCTTTATTTCTATTATAACTTTTCCCTTTGAACAAATTATGTTCTTCAGTGGTTATATTCCAGTCATCAGAATTCTCCCACCATGTCTCCATTATATTTACTGAATCATATTTTCTTTCCTGTAAAAAGAGTTCAGGCTCATCAGTTTCCCATATTCTTACCATTAGTGTTTAGACCATAAAGGTCATGAGCTCAATGAGCCAATGTTATTTTTGATTTTTCATTAAATGGTTTAGTAGGTTCCATTGAAGCAACACTCTAATTTCTTTCTACAGTGTGTAAGTCTTTATCTGGAATGCTTATATCAAAGTTTCAGTCTCCATCTTTCATGAAATTGAGATCAACCTAGTTGATGTTTTGGCTGAAGACATGTTTACCAGAACTTCTTAGGTGAAACCCATCTTGTGCTTGCAATTCATTATTTAGATGACTGAGACCATGACCAATAAGCTTTCTTCTGATGACACCACTTGTGTAGCTAGTTGTTGACTGGCAGCATTCTTTTTAACCCTACAATGATCCACCATACTATCTCTTGTTCTGCAGTGTTCTTTTCTTCACCTCAAGACTCACAGCGGTTTCTTTTGTGAACATTTCAAAGCTGTTTTTGAGTAGCTATTTTCCAGTAGCTCAGAATATTTTTTATGTTTTTTCCTTCTCGTGTCATGTTCCCTGAGCATTGATGGATGTTCTTCCTTACAGAGAATTGTTTCTTCCCTCAGCATTTATTGTAGTACTTTCTTTGTTTGATCTGATAAATCTTCAAATCCTCTTTTGAGCTGATATGCAACCACTTGTTGCTTCAGCTTTTTGACTTTTTCTACAAGCAACCTGCAAGCTTTCCCTTGCTGAAAATATATGCCAAGTTATCCTCCTTCCAGTACTGTCTGTAAGAGGGATCAAAATGGGCAAGATGGCAGATGCAACATTGTTATCCAAACACTGCTCCTTTTCTACATGTGTCAACATCACATGAATGCATAAAAGGGACAGGACTTGGATCATGATTTTACATCTGCCATCTTATATCTTTTGACCTAACCCTGCAGATCCCACTGTTTTCTTACTGCAAAAAATATAGAACAAGTATAAAAGATAACAGCTGCAATCCTGTCTTTCCATCTTCCCTTCTGCTTCTTAAGACAACCAGTAGAAATGCTTTTGTTTCTATTTATTCCCTTTTTAAGCTTTTATGTTTGCCAAAACTCAGCAGGAAAATTTATTAGGAATCTGTCCTTCAAACTCTCCTTCTGAAGTTTTCTGCCAAGGTTCTGTTACCTTTCTCTAGAAACTGGCTGCCATGTTCTTCCTCTGCAGCAACATCTGCTTACTCAGCAACAAGCAATCACTCAGTCACCCACAATGGAGAATCAACAGTTAGCAGGATGCATTTCTTTTTACCTGTTTGTTTGTTTGCATTTGTTTCTACCCATCCCACCAGGTCTGGCAAGAGGGGCATGCTCCAGGTGCTGTCAACTAAAGTGTGTTAACTAGTGGGGCCCAAGAGGAGGGTCTTTTCTGCCATGGTGCCTACCCTGTGGAACATCATTCCACCTGAGATTAAGTTAGCCCCGACCTTTCTGGCCTTTTGTGAGGCTCTAAAACCTTGGTTTTGTGCCCTGGAGTGTGATAGTATCCATCTCCTGACTTCATTGACAGTTATTTATGAAGCTTGGCTGCTACGTTTTAATATTATTATTATTATTATTATTATTATTATTATTATTATTATTATTATTGTGTGTTTTATTGTTTTTATCTATTTTATTGTAAGCTGCACAGAGTCACTTATGTGAGCTGGATGGCTATATAAATCATATAATAAACAAATAAATAAACAAATAAATAAATTTCTTGCACTCTGTTATTGTCACAGCTAAATATACAAGTTTTCTGGTCACTTTTTGTCTTCCTTGTCTATTCCTTCTGTTGAACTCCATCACAAAACGATAGTTTCTTACAGTTGCTTGCTCACTGACAGACTTCTCTTTCTTCCTGGTGGTGTCTAATGCTGTTTTAAAGCCAGTGATTATCGCTATATCTTACAGACTGTCTTACCAAACGTCATAAATTACTTAAGCATTATGTGAACAAGTCTCTCAAAGTAAATCATGTTCTATAAATCTTTATGGCAACTTTCTTCACATCCTTAAGCAATTTTATTACCTGTTATCCAGTAGCCTCTCCCCTATCTAAGCTAAGAAAAGAAAAAGAAAAAAGAAAGGTAATTTAACTTTGGACCCACAAGGAAGATAAACCTTGGCTATCCTTTTCTGTATGTTTCCAAGTTTAAAGTATATTTTTAAAGTACCTGATATTATACACAATAGTTGTGTGCACACTACAAGGTTACCCATGGTTAATTTAACTAAAGTTTATGGAATTAACTGATTTACTGGACACACTGAAATAGAAACTTCCCAGTCCCATTTTAGCCTGTGTGAACCCAGTCAAATATTTGAGTGGCAGAGCATGGGCTATGATAACTAGGCGTACACATTAAGTACTCGTTTGCTTTTTGAAGGGTAGCAGGTTGTGTGAACTCAACCACTTGTGGATTTTCAACAAACTGTGGTTAAATAAAACATAGTTTAGCCTGTTGTGTGAACACAGCCTTTGAAAACAAAAGCCCCAGGTCCAAGGCCTGCCATTTTTAGGCATGGACCTGAGAATGCCTCTTCGGGCCACTGCCTATCCAAGCAGATCCAAGCAGATAGCAGATCGGCTATCCAAACAGATCATACTGGGCTTACTTGGACCATTAAAAAAAAACAGTAAATCAATTTCATAAGTAACGAATCCCTTTTTCATCTCTTTTTTTTTTTCCTTCAGTTTTCCTACAACTGGATGTTTGAGCAGTACAGTTGGATAGCTGTTTCCTAGGTGTTTGGCCCCTTCATGGATCACTGCCTTGTCGTGGCGAAGGGGCTTGCGTAACTCAGTGAAG